TGAACCGCTCTCCGCTGGTGCACTATGTTGGGGTTCAAGCTCCGGCTGAGCCTCTTGTGTAGGGTTATCGGCTGGTGCCAGTTCAGGTTCGGTGAGGCCCTCTGGTGTTGGGGTTGCAAGTACTGGATTCAGTGCTAGCAATGTGTCTGGTGCTGGTTGTTCCACTGGTTCCGGTTCTGGGGCTGGCTCTGTCTGGGTCTCTGGGACTGGATCCACTACTGCTGTTGCAGACATTGGCATGGGGTCTGGGTCCATCACCTCTGACCAGGTCCTGGTAGAAGTTTCCAGAACAGAGCTAGGCGTGACGGCTTGCTTAGCCTGGCTGCGGGTAACCATTCTCTCCCTCTTGGCTAGCTTCACATGACTGGCCAAGTCTTCCCCCAACAGCACAGGGATGGGATAATCATCATATACTGCAAAAGTCCACGTTCCTGACCAGCCCTTGTACTGGACAGGCAACTTGGCTGTAAGCAAATTGAAAGAGTTGGACTTGAAGGGTTGAATTGTCACTTGGATCTCTGGGTCGATTAAACTGGGGTCCACTAAGGAAGCATGGATAGCTGACACTTGTGCTCCGGTGTCCCTCCACGCGGTGACCTTCTTCCCACCCACACTCACAGTTTCCCTCTACTCCGAGGATATCTGGGAGGCATCTGGGCCTGAGGACCTCTGGTGTGATTCCAGTGCAATGAACTGTAATCGGTTGGGGTTCTTGGGGCAGTTGGCCTTTACATGCCCTGGCTTGTTACATTTAAAACTTCGTCCAGCTGACAGGTCACTGGGGCGAGGTGGGTTGCTGGAGAATGGTGCGGCAGGACGATAAGGTGTCTGGAGTATTCCTTGGTGTGCAGTTGGGGCCTTGGGCTGCCCCCGGTAGTAGGGTGTGGTCTGAGGGTGTCCCTTCTGGTATCTGCTCCAACTGCGACCAGGGTTGTTCCTCTCTCCTCCCTCCACCTGTTTTGTTCTGGCTTGCCCCGCCTCTCCAGCAGTCTGGGACTGCTCATATTGATCAGCATAAGAAGCAAGACTTTCTGCTGAGTTCATTTCCTTATCCCATAAACACTGTTTTATTTCCTCCTTGGACATATTCAGGAATTGCTCCTGAGCTATCAAATCACACATTCTGTCAAAGCTAGTGACACGCCTTCCTTGGACCCATTTATCTAACAGATCCTTCATCTGGTTTAGATAAGCCACATTAGTTAGTCCAGGCCCTCTCTTAAGGGTTCAAAATTTTACCCCGGATGTTTCAGATGTAATTTGAACTTGCGTTAAAACCAACTCCTTGAACTTATTATAGTCAGAAGCCTCATCAATAGGCATCTTATTGAATATGTCCAGAGTTCTTCCAGTCAATTTTGCGACCAATGTGGTCATCTTGTGAGCTTCAGGAATTTTATGGAGAGTGCACAGTCTCTCAAAGGTGAGAAAATATTCAGCAATATCACTGGATTCATCATACTGTGGACATAGTAACTCCCATTTGTGGATTGTTGGGGAAGGATGGTTAGGGTTATCCAGTAGATTCCGCTCAGGACTTTGCCTTCTCCACCTCCAGTGCATGCTTCCTCTCTTTTTCCTTCTCCGCCTCAGCATGCTTCCTCTGTTTTTCCTTTTCCTCCATTTCTTTTTCCCTTGCCTCCACAGCTCTCCTGTGGTCAGCCTCCCTTTCCTCCTGAGCATGCTTCCATTCTTTTTCCTTTGCCTCCATAGCTCTCCTGTGGGCAGCTTCTTTGGCTGTTTCTGCCTTGGGCTCGGTCATGTTTGCCTCTCTGTTTTTAACTAACTTTACACCCGAGAGTTAGAAATAAAAAACAAACAAACAAAAAACTTGGCTTGTCAAAAAAAAAAAGAAAAAAAAAGGTTGTGCTGTAACTGGATACCTGTGTTCTCCGATAGGGATTGTCAGCCTACAGAAAATTCCTTTAAAATAAACCTAACACCTGTGTCTCCAGGCAAATAGACAGAAAAAGCTTCTAGTTGCTCTTAGCTAAAAAAAACAACCCACCTCTTCAGGTCTGTGAAGACTTGTGAATTTCCCTGCAGGAGGTTAACTACCCTGCCTTTAGGTAGAGAAAACTCCAGCTCACAAAAGACAATTCCCTTTTGTCTCTGCTCTGGCCCCCAAGCAGAGACAAAAAAAAACCTCTAACTGCTTTCAGCTTAAAACCTGCTTTCCAGCAGCCCAAAGGGAAAAAAATATTTCCTTTTAAAATCTGTGCTTCTGGTTCAAAAACTCTCAAAATGATTTCAAGTTAATCCCACCGCTCTGCCACCATGTCAAGGTTCCTTCCCCACTCTGAATTCTAGGGTACAGATGTGGGGACCTGCATGAAAAAACCCCTAAGCTTATTTTTACCAGCTTAGGTTAAAAGTTCCCCAAGGTACAAACTATTTTACCTTTTGTCCCTGGACCTTATTGCTGCCACCACCAAGCGTCTAACAAATATAACAGGGAAAGAGCCCACTTGGAAACGTCTTTCTCCCCAAAATCCCCCCAAGCCCTACACCCCCTTTCCAGGAGAAGGCTTGATAAAAATCCTCACCAATTTGCATAGGTGAACACAGACCCAAATCCCTGGATCTTAAGAACAAGGAAAAAGCAATCAGGTTCTTAAAAGAAGAACTTTAATTGAAGAAAAAGTAAAAGAATCACCTCTGTACAATCAGGATGGTAAATACCTTACAGGGTAATCAGATTCAAAACATAGAGAATCCCTCTAGGCAAAACCTTAAGTTACAAAAAGACACAAAAACAGGAATATACATTCCATTCAGCACAACTTATTTTATCAGCCATTTAAACAAAACAGAATCTAACGCATCTCTAACTAGATTGCTTATTAACTCTTTACAGGAGTTCTGACCTGCATTCCTGCTCTGGTCCCAGCAAAAGCTACACACAGACAGAGAGAACCCTTTGTCCCCCCGCCCCCCCAGCTTTGAAAGTATCTTGTCTCCTCATTGGTCATTTCGGTCAAGTGCCAGCGAGGTTATCTTAGCTTCTTAACCCTTTACAGGTGAAAGGGTTTTCCTCTGGCCAGGAGGGATTTAAAGGTTTTTACCCTTCCCTTTATATTTATGACAACCTTTAATAACACCACTTCTACCAGACAGATCTTGGAAGAGACTAGCTGAAAATGTGAATTCAGAGGACACCATTATCCCGTCATCGTGGACTCCTTTTCCAGGTATACAGAAATAATGTACTTGAAAGACATACCATGTTGCAGTGTTATCAAGAAACTGAAGTGTACTTTTTACTCACTTCAGTATTCCAGAACAACTAGTGACAGACAATGGACCACAATTCACTGCAGCAGAATTTAAGTCATTCCAACTGAAATACGATTTTGATCATATTACTAGCAGCCCACATTACTCAGAAGCAAATGGAGAAGCTGAGAGAGCCAAGAAAATCCTACAGCAGGAAGATCCATTCCTTGCTCTTCCTACAGAAGGAAGATCTGAGTTATGGATCAACACCGATAGCGGCTACCGATATAGTCTAGCAGAGCTCCTGATGGGAAGGCAACTCAGAACTCCTGTTCCAACTCTGGAAAAGTGATCAGACATGAAGAGAGTAGCCAAATCAGATAAAAAGGAGAAAAGAGCTTATGAACACTTTTATAACAGACATTTCTCAGGTAGAAAACTGCCAGGTCTAGAATCTGGTGACCATGTTCATGTCCAACTGGACGGAGAAAAAGTATGGACAACTCCAGCTATCATAAAGAAAAAGAATTCAGTGCCCAGATCATATGTGATCGAGAGTGACAGCAGACAGTTCAATAGAAACTGTCATCTACAGTTTACTCCTCAGAAAAAACAATCAGCAGAGCAAACTCTATAGATGGCCATTGCAGAACAAGATGTCTCAAGGATTCCAATGACCACAGCCAATCATGGACAGTCAGATGACCAAGCTGCTATGCATTCAGGTCATGTAATCAGAAAACCAGAGACATTTATCAGATTGATACATACTGAAATTCAAAGATAGCATGATAGTGTAAATATTGTAAATAGTAGGAATGTAGAACTTAAAGGGGGTGATCTAAGGCAGGGGTCGGCAACCTGCAGCCCATCAGGGTAATCTGACTGCGGGCCACGAGACATTTTGCTGATGTTGACTGTCTACAGTCACGGCCCCCCGCAGTTCCCAGTGGCCGCGGTTCTCTGTTCCTGGCCAATGGGAGCTGCGGAAGCAGCGGCCAGCACGTCCCTGCAGCCTGCCACTTTCTGCATTTCCCATTGGCCAGGAAAGGCAAACCACGGCCACTGGGAGCTGTGGGGGGGGAGGGCTGCCTGTGGACGGTCAACATCAACAAAATGTCTCACGGCCTGCAATCTTATTACCCTGATGGGCCGCATGTGGCCCATGGGCCGCAGGTTGCCCACCACTAATCTAAGGGAATGCTAAACTGCATTATATGGTTCAGCCACTAGGTGGCAGAGTGTGTAAAAAGAAAAGGAGTACTTGGGGAAAATACCTTATTTAAATTAACTTCAGCCATGACCTAAAGATCTTTTAGTCAACACATCTGGTGTGTATAACTATCTCTTTGTCCAGCTACCACAAGTATTCCTTTTCTTTTTGCGAACACAGACTAACACAGCTGCTACTCTGAAACCTGTGATATTACTGTAACTTAGCTGCTTTCACAGTGATCTAAAATATAACCTTAGTCTCCAAAGTTTGATATTTATCTAATTTTCCTCCTATTATCTGTGTGCTACAGAAAGATTTATAGGAGCCATATATGCCTATCCTTTCAGCCAAGGATATTTCTAATTCCAGACCTCCAACATCTTACTTGAAAAGTAACGACCTCACCTATCATGTACAATAGGAATGTGAGTGCATGTTGTGACAATGATATAATTTTGAGTTCCATTACATTTGGAGAGCAAAGGAAGAATGCTGTTCAGGTATAAAAGGAAATCTGCATAGACAATGCTGCAGTTCATTAAAAAAACAAAACAAAACTATTTCTAACCTGATTCTTTTGTTGTGAATTGGACAATGTTACTGAACTGATTGCCATTTCCAACTCTTGTAAAAGCACAGACACTGATAAAATAGGTGCTGAATGGCTCTAATCCAAAAAGGTTTGCATCACTGTGTGAACCTGAAACATTCTTAGAAGAAGAAAACAATTGTTAGCACAAAATCCACATATTTGAACACACCGGGTCTCATCCTCCCCACACTGACATTAATGAGAGTTTTGGTACTGCAGTCTTGTCTCTTGCATCCTTCAAGTCTCCATGTCACACAAAATAGTCCAAGGTCTCACCTAAGGGGAAGCAGGGTCAAATCCTTTATCGTGCTACTTCAGATGTGCACAAGCCAGATTTTTTTCTGTACGAACAGGGTATCTCTCTCAAGATTCCTTCTCTCCCTACCCACCCCCCGCCCACTCACCAGAAATAACATGACAAAATATCAGAACAAAAAAAATGAGAAAGACACAATGGACAGCTTCTATAGAAATATAGCAAACAACAACAAGAAATCACATTTATTTGCCCCTCTTCTTGTTTTTGAGGCTTTAGTTCCTATTCATGTTAGTGAGTGAGCCAAACCATAAAGCACGTATTATTTGATTGATTGAAAACACTGCTTTCCCATTCCCTTCCTTTCCACTCTTTCTCCCTCACCGTGGCTTGTGAAGAAAGTTTGTCAACGGAAGTGATTATAATTACAGTAGTACCACACCAGCAGCCTAACTCCACATATGCATCCTGTGCCAGCCTGTATAGCTGCTGCCACAATCAAACACCCTCCTCTCCATCTGCACTACCTCCATCGCTGATAGCACCTCTTCAGATATAGATTCTGCTGAAGGGAAGGATTTCCATATAATAGGTTGGTGCCAGCTTGAAGTGTCACTTGGGCTAACTTTTTCATCTTTGCTTGTTTATGGCATGATGCCCCTCCTGTCCCTCCAGCCCTTGTCCAGCAACTGGACAGAAAGAGATAGGGGTGAATTCTTCTCCCCTACCTGAGACAAGAAACTATTTTGGGTGACATAGAAACATGCAGCGATGCAAGAGTACAGGCTATCCCTGGTAACAGCTGTTCCTGCAGCACTCACAGCCATCTCTTCATGGGACTGTAAAAGCAGTCGGGAGAGCTGTTCAGTTCTACTGTGAAAACAAAGGTAAATTTTTCAAAATAATGTTTAATTATACAACTTAGCTGTGTAGTGAGGCACAGTGGCCTCCCACTGAGCCAGAGGGCGGGAGGGACCAAGCTGTGAACCCTGGTGGGCGGAGCCAGGCTGTGCTTGCCCCTCCTACCAGAAATCAGAGGGAGGAACAGGAAGTATAAAGAGCAGGTCCTGGCGCTCAGCTGGGCTGCAGCCACCGAAGGAGCCAGATGCCTTTTACCTGCTCCTGAGCTGCGAGGCTGCAGCAGACCCCTGCGGCACAAAGGACTGTCCAGAGCTGCTGGAGCCACCCACTGACCAAGCCATGGAGGAGGTACTGGGACTACCATGGGCCTTCTATCCAGACATGCGAAAGGACCCTCAGTGGATCCAGGTACACCCTGAGATGAGGGGAGGAAGTGTTCCTGGGGCAGTTGACTTAATCTGGCTGCGTTGCTGTCAGCGTGTTGTGGCTGGATTCACCACTGATCCAGTGGCAGACCACTCTGCCCCTGTTAGGGCCCTGGGCTGGGACGCAGTGGAGTCGGGTGGGCCTAGATGGGGCTGCATCCCCCTACCCTTGCCACCTCACCCCTGGGGTGGCAGTCCCTCCTCTTTAGGCCAAGGAGCCTGTGTTCGTCGGCCATCTGCCAGAGCTAAGATGTCTGACCCTCTTGCTGCTCGGCCCTGAATACAGACCCGAGCCATAGACTCCTGACTACACCCACCCCAACTGCGGACCCATAACTGTTTGCTCCTTGGCCCTGATTGCAGGGTAGAGACCCTAACTGACTACCGCTCTGCCAGTACAGTCGGCCGCAGCCTGGCTGTTGCTAATTCCCTAATTGTGGGTGACTCCCAGCGACGTAGTGAGGCGGACCCCACTGACCCAGAGGGGGAGGAACCACCACTAACCCACTACATGCTGCCATCTCCCTCTGCATGAACTGGTCTGCCTGTCCCACTGCTGCACTCTGCACAGTCTGCTCTCTTGCATACACTACTCTTCTTGTGACAACGTGAAAGAAGCTTCGTGTGTGGTACACACATCTCAGCAGAGTGCCACTGCTGGTCTCTATCACATTTAACTCTGTCTACTGTCATGCAGAGTCTGCCTACTGTCGGATTCTGTATGGCCTGTCCTCAGGATGTGCAATGGAGGAGCTTTCACTTGTCCTGCATAATGGTAAGCAAAACTGAATTCCCTGTGCACAGACGTGGAAACTGCTCTGTCCCTATTCTATCAGGACCACATGATGTCCCCCGCAACCCTGCAGGATCCTGGGAACTCCTTCATGTGTTATAATAGCAGACTGTAAACGCCTTGGGGCAGGAACTGTCTTTTCAATTACACATATGTGCAGGGTCTAGAACAAAGGCGCCTAGATCCCTGGTTGGAACTGATTAGTGCACTACAAAGAAATAACAGGTGCATTTCCCCCACAACAGACATTATATAGCTGAGGGAGGAGGAGTGTGAAGCTCCACACAATCCCTCACTGTGGACTGTGTCTTAAGAGATATGATTTAGCCCACAATATACATGCATTTCCATAACATCTTTTATCAGTGTCTTTTATGAAGGAACATTAGGGGGGAAAAGAAAATCACTTCCTCTAAGTTATGAGTTCCTACAGTTTTGATTAATGCAGGACATACCTAGGCATACAAAATGCCTTACATATTTTGGTTTTGAGACATGAGTCAGATAGCCAGAAAAATCAAATGTATTTTTTCAGATACTTAAAACACTACTAAATATTATAAACATACCTGATAAAATATGGTTTGACTCTTGTTTTCATGAATCTTAAAACTATAGCTCTTAATAGCACCATTTGGCTGGGGACTTGGCCTCCATTTTAGCCACACAGAGTAGGCAGTATAGTTGAAAATAGCCAAATCCTGAGGAGGTGCTAATGGCACTGTGGGAGAAAATGCTCGTTAGTTCAAATTTACAATGTTAATTTTAGGCAAATATGAATACTTTGTAGGAGAAAAAGATCATGTCTGAGCTTAACCGAACCAATATTGTACTGTTATACTTTTAACAAAGAGCTCCCAACAACTCTTCACTCTTGTCCCATTTGCCTGTTATAAACTCTATTTACCAAAGATGCACGTTGTTGGAGAAAGTAAGGGTGAGGAATGGGATAATCTATTCATGTTGTTTGTCATTTAAACAAAAGCACATTTTCATAACCAAGGAAGTATTAAAATATTTGGCAAAAAAACAGAGTAGATGCTCTTATAGAATCATAGAAATATAGGACTGGAAGGGACCTCAATCGGTCATCTAGTCCAGTCCCCTACACTGAGGCAGACTAAGTATAACTAGATCAAGTGTTTGTCTAACCTGTTCTTAAAAACCTCCAATGACGGAGATTCCACAACCTCCCTAGGCAATTTGCTCCAGTGCTCTAGAGAGTATGAAAGAGACTCATTAGATCACATACTCCATCCCAAAGGGCCACTAAACTATTTACTATAGTCTTATCTAGCACTTCAATCAGTCTAGTTTGAAAGGTACACAACCAAAGTATCATACCTGTATCCTAAAATGTAGTACCTACTATTGTTACTAGTAGCATCTAAGATTACTAGAATGAAGATTAGAGCTTTCTAATATATATACACATATTTCCCCTCTCTACTTTGTGCATTATATATATATTGCGAGTGGGATGGCAGTGTGCAATGTAATCTGAAATAGAGCAAGGAGTGAAAAAAACCCTGTAAGGGTCTGTAAGTATTTTTAAGGAATATTTTCCGGGTGGGGTGGAGGTGGGGGTCGTTGGTTGTTTTTCCCCAAAAATAATTGACACTTGGCAAATTATGATGCATTCCAAAGGCAAAAAGAAATTGATTTTCAGGTATTCTTATGAGCCCAAGGCTAAAACTAATCTCTAGCAAAGATAATTTAGCACTATAATGGGTGAACTCTGCCAAAGGCAGGGAAATCTCACACGCTTCCTTTCAATTTGGTCGCAGAATTTTTAAAAGGGGCTCCTATGAGCCATTGAATGCCACCATTCTTGGGCACCTCAAATTTATTTTCTTGTGTAATTTGAGAAATAAACTAATATAGGCCCATGGTAGTGAGAGTTAAATAGTCTTCGGTCAGAGTGTGTCCTCCCCTACAGTAAAACCTACAGGCAGAGTGTGGACGAAGGACGAAATCTCAGCATTCACTCTAAACTTGTCCCCCAGATGTTGCAGGTTTGTCTCCCTGCCTTCTACAGAAGCAGTGGTGTGTCTGGCCCCATGCCCCAAAGATTTTAGGGGATCCACCAAGATAGGATCAGCCACATGGAAGCCCTACATCTTTGCACCAGCTCTGGGATCCTCTATTTCATAATTTATTTCCAAAGAGCATCATATGATTTTATTTATCACTCACCTGACTCATCTGTGTAAAAGTTAAAGGTAGCATATGGACCAAGTCCTCTGATAGTTCTTGCAGCAGCAAAAATACTATACAGTGTAAATGGTAAAAGATCTTCTAGAATGATAGAATTATTGGTGGTAGACCAAGAATCATTCCTTTCTGGTCCATATAACTTTAAATCATAACTTATTATGATACCATTTGGTTGGCGAGGAGGATCCCAGGACAACATAACTGAGGTAGATGAAAGATTCTTATACGTTCTGATTACAGGTGAAGATTCAGGGACTATAACAAGAAATGAGAAAACAAACAGAAAAAAAACATACAATCCAAAAAACCTAAGTTATCCCACAAAAAGGTGATTTATGGTGGAAAATATCTTTAAATATCAATTAACTTTGTTCTCTTATCAATGCTAACTTCTACTTCATGGTCTCAATGAAGCACTACAATAAATCTGCATGACAACAGTTATTGTGGGTTGCTTTATTAGTTAATTTGACAAACAAAAAAGTTAACAAGTAGATCAGTAACATTATTTCATAAGAAAACAATCTAATGATCAAGAATTTTTAGAAGGCTATTTGCTTTTAATAAATTTCTTTGGCAATAAAAAAAATCCTCAACCTACCATCTTCTTCAGTTTTGATGTGCAGTTTCACAGTGTGCATTTTAGAAGATCCCTTTGCTGTTGCTGGAATGATTTTCAGAATATAATCTGTGTACTTCTCCAGCTTATCCAAAAGCACACTTGTATTGTAAGTAATGAGAGACAATAGCTCACTGTCTGTTTGTGTATCCCATAAATTTAGTGAAACAAGGAAGAAGACTATACCATTTGGCTGGGATGGTGGAAGCCAGCTTACATTTATAGCAGTTGAAGAAACATTTTGATATGTCAAACTTTCAACAGGGCCATCTGGAACTAGGGATTAATAAGCAAAAAATAAAGATATGTTAGTTTGATATAAATAACAAAAATAAACAAAGTGTTGCTATTGGATCAACTTAATCCCTAACATTATGTATTCAATATTTTATTACATTATTTTCGTGACTACAAATAAAACAATCGTTTCTTTGATCATCTATGGTTTGATATAAAAAACAAAGCATCTTGAATGTATATATACATAATTTGTAGTTAATGTTAATTATTAAGGTGAGAAAATCTTTGTGATAGATTTTCTCAGTCTTTGTGCCCAGAGAAGAAAAACTGCTTTTGATGCTACACTACAAAAAGAAGAGATTCAGCAGATCAAAATGTCCTTTAGGAAGGGTTAAAGATTAGTTGCTTGATAATTAAGCTTACTCTCAAACTGCCATGAAAACCAGATGGGCCAAAGAGAGGCTAAACTGTAGGGTTTTGTATTGAGAATGGTTATCCTGATAGTTAAGGTGGAGAAAATAATGGAGACAGGTTCAAAATGGAACGTGGAGTTAGGAGTCTGCTCAATCTGTTGACACAAAGAGGTTTCCTTCAGATACTAACGCTAAGGTTCATGAGAATGATCTATCCCCATTCTAGGCATAGAGAATACCATCAAACCCGTGCAAAGGTAAATGCTACAGTATGGTAAACAGTTTTTTAAAATGGCATTCACTGTAGTACTTCTTTTTAACCTTTTCATCCAAAAGAATGCAATAATATTTAAAAGTTCTAGAACTATTTCATAATGAAAAGCTTGGACGTACATTTGAAAATTTAAAATAGAGATGTTTACATACTATCTTGATCTGTATACACGTGCATTATCTCACTGGTCTTGTTTCCATTTCCAAAGGCAGTGTCTGCAGTTAACCACACCGTATAGTAGCTGCATTTTGCCAAATTGTCTAATACTGCAGACAGAGATTTATTGTCAACACCACTGTCAATGTCTTGTCTGGTGAAATTCTAAGGAAAAGAAAGGAGAAGGATATCATCTTTTACGAATAAATTAGTATTTCTTTATTACTTTCATTTTCTCTATCTATCCATCCATCCGTCCACCCACCCACACAACTCAGACCATTTACTAATCATAAACAGACACTTCAATTCTCTAATGCTCAAGTCAGCCACACTGATTCCTGTTTAATGCAGTCAAATAAATCATAGAATCATAGAATATGAGGGTTGGAAGGGACCTCAGGAGGTCATCTAGTCCAACCCCCTGCTCAAAGCTGGTCCAATCCCCAACTAAATCATCCCAGCCAGGGCTTTGTCAAGCCTGACCTTAAAAACTTCAAAGGAAGGAGATTCTACCACCACCCTAGGTAACACATTCCAGTGCTTCAACACCCTCCTAGTGAAATTTTTTTTCCCTAATATCCAACCTAAACCTCCCCCACTACAACTTGAGACCATTACTCCTTGTTCTGTCATCTGCCACCACTGAGAACAGTCTAGATCCATCCTCTTTGGAACCCCCTTTCAGGTAGCTGAAAGCAGCTATCAAATCCGCCCTCATTCTTCTCTTCTGCAGACTAAACAATCCCAGTTCCCTCAGCCTCTCCTCATAAGTCATGTGTTCCAGTCCCCTAATCATTTTTGTTGCCCTCCGCTGGACGTTTTCCAATTTTTCCACATCCTTCTTGTAGTGTGGGGCCCAAAACTGGACACAGTACTCCAGATGAGGCCTCACCAATGTCGAATAGAGGGGAACGATCATGTCCCTCGATCTGCTGGCAATGCCCCTACTTATACATCCCAAAATGCCATTGGCCTTCTTGGCAACAAGGGCACACTGTTGACTCATATCCAGCTTCTCATCCACTGTAACCCCTAGGACCTTTTCTGCAGAACTGCTGCCGAGCCATTCGGTCCCTGGTCTGTAGCGGTGCATGGGATTCTTCTGTCCTAAATGCAGGACTCTGCACTTGTCTTTGTTGAACCTCGTCAGATTTCTTTTGGCCCAATCCTCTAATTTGTCTAGGGCCCTCTGTATCCTACCCCTACCCTCCAGCATGTCTACCTCTCCTCCCAGTTTAGTGTCATCTGCAAACTTGCTGAGGGTGTAATCCACGCCATCCTCCAGATCATTAATGAAAATATTGAACAAAACCGGCCCCAGGACCGACTCTTAGGGCGCTCCACTTGATACTGGCTGCCAACTAGACATGGAGCCATGTTTATATCTTTTCTATCTAGTTTCTTATGTAGACATTACACATTTATATGGCTGAGTCTCTTTCTAACTTGGCTTTGTTTATCCACTATTTCTTTTTTTAGAAAAAAATATTCTGTAGAGTGAATGTACTTACACATATCAAGGGGGAAAAAACAGGAAGTGTACCAACTACAAATTATTGACAAAAAGATACCCCAGCAGGACTAAAGTCCCTGACTTTCTTCAGTATTAATGTCAAACACTTTATTCAAACTGATAGAGACTGTTACAATAACTGAATTTTACATTACCCACTAGAGGGAACCCATACATTACTTTGCTTATAACAGTACCAATTTGGAAACAGAAGAGAAAAAATTAATTTTTTATGTAAGAACTATTAAATGCAAATAATCTCAATGGGTCAAATCATCAGTGACTGAAAGGAAGATGACCCAGGAGAACCATGCAATTCTGCAGTGGTACAGGAATTAGGGACCCTATTTAGGGGACATGCACCCATGTGGCAGTCAGACTCTGCTTTGCCAGGACTTCCTGTGACTCTACCTTGTATTCAGGATAGAGAGACAGGTCCCATTCTATGACTATGCATATCCACCAGCCACTCTTCTCTATAGAGCAGTGAGCATGTGCATTAGTGATCTGGACTAACACTGCCCTTATATTTTAGAGGCAGCTGTGATATGTCCCCAGGATTCTTCCCAAGATCCTGTTAAGTGCACAGTCCAGCCATTTGGGCTGATTTTTAGTTCCAGTATTTGGCCCTACAAGCACCAACAGTTCCTTAAAATCAGAGTTAACTTACTGGGGTTTATGTCTTGTTAAAAAAGGGGTGGGGGGCAGCGATAGAAGGGGAGTGAAGTTTCTTTGTTTTTTAGCAATATATATTTACAGAACTAGCTGATTTACTAAAATGAGATTTTTTTGTGTGCGTGCACATTTGAGGATGAAACATTATGAAACTGCAAAAAATGGCAATACCATTTTCTAAAGGAGGCACTGTGATTCTTTACCAACTTGGCTGTGACTTCTCCTGTGAAGGCTTTTAGTTTTTCAACAAATAATCTTAATGTCTATTACCCCTATGTCATAATCCACATACATTTAATTTAACATTTGACTAATTTCTTTACTTTCATGCTGGTGAAACTATTTTACTTCTGTGAATAACACAGGGCCAAACTCCATTGACTTCAATAAGATTTGCATGTGAATATCTGAAGGCTGAATTTAGCCCAAAGTTATTACAGTGAAATATCCTACATTGACAGCACTGGAACACAAAGTCCTCTTCTGGTACATTGAACAGGTGCAGGACAAATGGAACAAGAAAAATGTCTCTATGCCAGCCCATTAATGTACCTGAACCCTGACTTGCAATTTGTCTATATTAGGAAAAGAGGACGAAGGTAGGTCAGAGTTGCCCAACAACAATCCAGACCTAACCAAAACCTTTTCCCGAGGGTAGATACAAGTTAATGCCTTTTGCCTCAATGTAGCTCAGTAGTTCTCAAACTTTTAACACAGCAAGCCTGAGTGCGACCCCCCGTCCTTACATATTAAAAACACATTTTTTATATTTAACACTATAATAAATGCTGCAGGCAAAACAGAGTTTGGGGGTGCAGGGTGACAGCTCACGACCCCAATGTAATAACCTCACAACCCCCTGAGGGGTCACAACCCCCAGTTTGAGAACCCCGATGTAGCTGATTAAAGTTAATGCTAGTGGGAATCTCACTTTGAGTTTGTGTAAATGACTATACAAGATTCAGGGCAATGGAGAATCAGGCACAACATACTTAAATTAAATTTTCTGATGTCCAGCTATAGAAAGATAGTGAATCACTTGTGAATGAGAGCACCATTCCCTTTGTTTCTGATGCAGGGGATCAGACAAAGGGCAGGAATTAATACCCTGACTTTTAAAGATAAAATTTCCAAGTACTGAACAGAGTTTTAACTTCTGGATTTAATAGTTCACCAGCTATAAATCTCATGCAAAGCTTTAAAAATGTATCTTTACATTTTCTCAACAGTTTTGCATTTGGACATAGAATGCTGTAGTGAACCTACCTGAAAGCTATAACAAAACACTATTTGGTGGTTCATTGAAACCCTATTTTGAAGGGAGTGTAGTTGTAGCCGTGTTGGTCCCAGGATATTAGAGAGACAAGGTGGTGAGGTGATCTCTTTTATTGGACCTTCTGTTGGTGAGAGAGATAAGCTTTCAAGCTGTAGAGAGCTCATTGTGGATCGAAAGCTTGTCTCTCTCACCAACAGAAGTTAGTCCAATAAAACAGATCACCTCATTCACCTTGTCTATCTATTTAGAAGGGAGACCATTTAGTCTGGCAGCCAAGGGGCAGATAACTACTCATGACATGACAAAATATTAGAAAAGCATGCACAGATAATGGTGACACGAAGAGCTACTGGGATGCAATCTGCAAAATAATGTAACTTGCACTAATTGTATTCTGGGGATTCATCATTATAGGACATTTTACAATTAATTCTGGCTGCAGATGAAAGCAAACTGCTTAGGACTTCTTGGCAAACTGAAGCTACAACTGAAAAAATTTCTTCTTCTGCTTCCTTCCTTAGTCCACACACAAAGAAGTTCTGGAATAGCAAAGTATCAGATTATTAAGAGCAGATAAGTGTAAGCAGTACACACAACCAATGAAAGCGTGTGCAGAAAACAATATTCTTCTTGGCCCAGGAAGCATTTCCAGCTACATAATGTCATAACCAGTGATATACAGACATCACAAAGCTTCTAATCTTAAGAATAAGGTTGTGGCACTGCTTTGCTAGTATAGTTTCTTTCTATTCTCTCTTGCTCTGGGCTTGTCTTCACTTCATTATTAGTTCCAGTTAGAATACATGAAGTACTCCACTTGCGTTAGCCTAGGTTGAGGCCACACGACAAAGGCTACATCAGCCATCCAGCTTTCATCCAAACCACATCACATGATCCATTGTCTACAGCCAAGCTCTAAGATACAACAACATTTGCTCCAATCCCTCAGACAGAGACAAACACCTACAGGATCTCTATCAAGCATTCTTAAAACTACAGTACCCACCTACTGAAGTGAAGAAACAGATCGACAGAGCCAGAAGAGGAGCCAGAAGTCACCTTCTACAGGACAGGCCCAACAAGAAAGTAACAGAACATCACTAGCCATCACCTTCAGCCCCCAACTAAAACCTCTCCAGTGTATCATCAAGGATCTACAACCTATCCTGAAGGACGATCCCTCACTCTCACAGATCTTGGGAGACAGGCCAGTCCTTGCTTACAGACAGCCCCCCAACCTGAAGCAAATACTCACCAGCAACCACACACCACACAACAAAAACACTAACCAAGGAACCTATTCTTGCAACAAAGCCCGTTGCCAACTCTGTCCACATATCTATTCAAGGGACACCATCATAGGACCTAATCACATCAGCCACACCATCAAGGGTTTGTTCACCTGCACATATACCATCATGTGCCAGCAATGCCCCTCTGCCATGTACATTGGCCAAACCGGACAGTCTCTATGCAAAAGAATAAATGGACACAAATCAGACGTCAAGAATTATAACATTCAAAAACCAGTCAGAGAACACTTCAACCCGCATGGACACTCAATTACAGATCTAAAAGTCGCAATTCTTCAACCAAAAAACTTCAAAAAAACAGACTTCAACGAGAAACTGCAGAACTGGAATTAATTTGCAAACTGGACACCATTAAATTAGGCTTGAATAAAGTCTGGGAGTGAAT